CACACCTATTAGGGTCAGTTGCTGAAAGCTATTTGGGGAAGAATATAAACCAGTTGAGACAGACTTATTCTTGAGAAATAAACCCATGCAGCTTTACCATGATCTTTGCAAGCAAGCAAGGAACCAAAGAGAGAAAGGATGAAGTCTGGGCCTGAGCAAGGCCATGGGAGTTTTGCTCAAGAGCTGCTAAAGTCGCCTTTCATTTATGTAACAAACAAAAGTGGTAAGAAAAGCAGAGACATGCAGAATAATTATTACAATGCAGGAGTTTAGCTTCCCCACTGGGCAACCTATTTCCTTCTCTGAAGTGAGAAGCTGTAACTAAACTCTCTTTTCACAAGGGCATCTCAGAGCGAAAGCTCTTTCTGCCGGCAAAAGTGGGAGCTGGGGATTAAAGTTACACCACAGTCCTAATATTCATCAGTCCTGGCCAAGGGTAAATGTGGGGCAAACATTTTATTCTGCAGTATGAGGCTGTGCACTTTTTGCCTTGTTTGGGATTCCCATCTTTTCATTCCTCCTGAATTGCTGACTCTCGAAACTTTTTGCCGTTTTCTCACAGATGCACATATTTTTAAGTGTGACAGCTCCTTTTATGGTAACTAGTCACACATTTATCCTTCTGGGTCACTCAACCTTACAGCTCCTTGCAAGCTGACAGAAAGTGCTGGTTGCTTTTTGGCACATGAGTACAGGTGTAACAAGACTCCATGAGGACATGCTCACTGGAAGCAAAGCAAACTCTGGGGAGCCCAAACCCCGAGGCCTGTCAGGGTCCAAAACAGATTTTCTGAGACAATACAAGCTGTTCTCAACACATGGTGACCAGGCTTGCATTTGCATCTTCACAATTTATTTAACTGACTTCTAACAACTAGATAAACACTGTTGAGTCTGATCCTTAAAGTGCTACTAATAACATTTTTTTGTTTCTAACAAGTTCAGGAAGCTATTGTGGAGGAGCAGGAGAGCCGAAAAGAGGAAAATATTCACTTGACTTGATTCCTGAGGGTTCTTGCTAACTTCCTGGCCCTGTGCACACTTGCTGGGAGTGGCTACCTCATCTTTTTTGTTGTGAGAAGATCCCAGAAATTTGCCCTGGAAGGTCTGGAGAACTACGGGTGGTGGGAAAGAAATGAAGTTCGTGCTAGCACGTTTTTATAATAGATGTGGTTTGAAACTGTGTTCCTATGCTCTGCATGTTGCCTTTTTTTCTCCTGGAATTTAAATACTTTGAGTGTGGGTGATAAATGTCTAACAAAGCAATTCTTCTTGTCTCCCTGCTTCCTGCTTCATTAAAATGATTATTCTTTGGTTCTTTCAAATGTCCCTTCATATTTATTTTTTATTTGATGCTTTTGCCTTTTCTTCTCCGTGCTCCTAAGATTGTTTTTCAGCTGCTCTATGGAGTCACAAGATTTCTCCAAAGAGCCTGTTGTCCTCTTGCTTTCCTCTTGAGATTGGCACAGGCAAACTGACTGGTGTGTAGTCATGCTCAAAGTTATTTGGGGCCTCATGAACATAACTTTGCAGTGCAGCAGATGAAACTTATACCTTCCAGCTCCAACTGCCCAGTCCAAGAGCCCAATGTCATTTTTAGGATTTGGTCTACTTTCCTCTTGAACAGATCTAGCCCTGCCTAATGGAACTGTATAGTGAAAGTGATTGCATTTGTTAAGATGGTATGCAGTAAGCACCTGAAGTCAGCATTGCCATATGGAAACCTGGGCAGATTTTACTTTCTTAACAAACACACTGTTGTGTATGTTGTAAAACTAGCTGTACATTATTTAAAGCTCATATTCTGAACTAGTGTGTAAAATAGATGCATGATTTAAGGTAAGGCAAAAGGATGCCAACTTGCTAAAGCTGCTGGGATGGAATGATAGTGGAATGAGGAAGGTCACTCCCTAATTTTGAATACCAAAAACCAACTGAGAAACTAACATAAAAAACTCCAGCAATCCATCTTTGGAATCCAGAGAAATGGGGCTGTTGACATTGGATTAAATTACTTGAAAAACATTATTTCATTTTGCTCTAATGGGAAACAGAAGTCATGTACAAAACTGTTTGACTTAAAGCAACATGAGCTCAAAGTGTGACAACAGACTCTCAAATGAAGGCAAGTCAGGAGGAATTCAGCTTTCTCTGATTCAAAAGGTGTGGTAACAGATCTGTGATAATGAGAACTGTGCTACCAAAAGCTGTTATATTAGCTTATGTTGCAATCTGCAAAGCAGTTAAACATATGCATGTTTACATTTCAGGGGATTTTTTTTTGTTTGCTTTACAAAAAAAATCCTGCTAAGGAGGCACTGTATCACAGAGCTAAGATCTAGAACAGATCTTTCTAAAGAAGGGTGGATAATGCAGCTCTGCCAGGATTTGGCTAGAGCTACCTATTGGCAGGTAATGAACACACTTGTGAGGTACACAATATTGCTCTTGATTGGAGGCTAATGCTTAATTAAATAAATGAATTTGCCTTCTACCTAATAGCCATTTAAACATTTTTTCTTATTTTCTAGATAGATCTAAATCCAGATTATGTTTGTATCATGAAGAAATAAATTGAGATTTTGATCAGAAAAAAGGCCATTAACACTTAGTGTACTATTTAGAGCAATTGAAAGTACACCTCTTACAACTGAAGTACACATCTTACATACATCATAGTTCTCGCTGGTTATTTTCCTCTGTCATACTTCTGTAAACCTATACAAAACTGGTCTCAGATTCAGTGAGGCTTAACTTCCTCTCCATCTCAGCAGTACCTAGTCCTGTGGGGTCACAGCTCAGATGAAATAGTCTAGCCCATGATGGGGAGGAGAAGAAAATTATTGGGAACAGGCAGACCAGGATTCTTAGGGGATTTCATTAGGCTTTGCATCTCTCCCCACACATGGTCTGGTAGGTGACTGTGGACAAATCATGAATCATTTGGGAAAGGAGGAGGTAGGTGTTATACATTAAAATTTTTTCCAGATGCAAAAATATATAGATTTCACATTTCATATCTTGCAAGTTCAAACAACTCCATAGATTTTTTGCCAAAAATATCCTGCTATTTATCTTAGAGTTCCTAGCAGTGGAGATGAAGATCAGTGCACTTATATTGAAGTTATTAAGCCATGTTGTCAATGCTCAGTTTTAATTCTAGAAATCATCAGACAGCTTTTATTATTACAAAATATAAATTCTTGCTCTAATTACTTTTTAAAAATGAAACTGCATTTACTAGAAAAATAGACGTTTATTACTGTTTCCTGAAGCAGATGCTAGACAAACCACAATCATTGTTGGTGGAAGAAATGATTTCTTTTAACTACACTACTTACTCTTAATGAACTTATCATTTAATCAACAAGCAGTCATTGTTCAGTATTTAATGTTGTGTTGGCACAGTTTAACATGCTGGGGGAGTGGTGGTGTTTAGATGTGACTGCAGTCCCAGCATTTCTTATCAAATTCACAGCAACTGGAAAAACAGAAAGGCTTGTATAAGCTGTGATTTTCTAGCTTTCAAAGTGTCATGCAGGGGCTTGGTCTCTGCAGTAGTAGAGAGATAAAAGAATGTGTTTGGAACCACAGTTTTCACTAATTAGTGGGTGCCTCTAGATTGTTGTTCCCTTCTTACTGAGAAATGTCATCTCCATAGGGCAGAGAGTGTTTCTGAGATTCACTCAGCAGATACTGAATATAAGATGATTTTGGCTTTCGAGTATAACTCTATCTTGCATGCATGCTGGCATGTTGCCCCTCTTCTGGCATATCATTCTATAATTTTTAAGTCACACAGAACACTGGAACTGTCCTCAATATAAACAGCAGAAGAAAATCTGGCTCCAGCACCTGAGCTTGGAGTTGACAAAAAATCCAGAATATAAATTGGCCCCTTTCTGAAATCATACTAGATGTGGCTAAAATTAATTTGAAGATATATTTTTGCTTTTCTTGTCTGTCCAACAAAATCCTTTGCAACAAACTAAAAAAATTATGAAAATATATCTATGAAATTTGTAAGAGAAATGCTTATGCTTTTCAACTATAGAACCCATAAAAATTTTTGGATTTTGAAAAATTCAATAAGCTATATTTATCTCAGTAAAACCTTGCACCTTCAGTTGCAATCATTCCCCACTTTTCAGCTTGGCAAGTTTCTGTGCCTTGTTTCCACCTCCCATCCCAATAATGTTTTTTTCTCCAGAATTGGAAATGCTCCCAAGACAGGGAGCATGAATAATCAAGGCATGGAAAAATACCTATATAGAAAGCAAATGAAAAGAACATGCTTTCTTTAAATAAGCAGTAAAAAAGTGAGAACATAATAAAAATATAGAAAATATTGAATGTTAAAGGTAAAGAGGACTAATGACTTCTGTCCTGGCTCTCCCATAATGTAGCAACAAGGAAATTTTCAATAAGGTTATCAGGTGCTATATTTAAAACTTACTGTAGGACATACCTTTTCTTCTAAAATGCACATTTGCTATGTCTTCCAGTACAAGAACTAGAGGGTATCAAAAGAATCAAGTAGGATCCAGGTTAAAAAAAAACAAAAGGAAAGCAATGTGTAGCTGGTGGATTTCAGTGCTACCATGCACTGAAATGCCAAAAATGCCAAATGAAAATGAAATGCCAAAATGAAAATGAAAAATGCCAAAATTTACAGGGGTCCAAAGGAAGATTAGACTAAGAAATGAAATAGAGATCCTCTGAGGGTTACTAAATACATAAAATCACAGCTGGCTGAGGAACTCTCCAAACTGAAAATAGTTGGAGGCTGGGACATATTATTCATATGTGTTTGCCCTGTTCTTGCTCTGCCCTGGGCATCTGTCAGGCTAGGCCAACCTCTGGTATGACCCAGAATGTCTATTCTTGTGTTATGTTGATATTCCCCCCTCCCCCCCCAGGACTCATTGCCACAAGAGGATATGAGAGACCAGAGTTTGCGAAGATTTTGATTTGTGATTCAG